CCCCAAAACCCCAAAACCCCAAAACCCCAAAACCCCAAAACCCCAAAACCCCGATTTATAACTTCCTGATTGAATTTCATGTGGATTATAGATAAAGTCCGTCAGGGATGTTTCCTTTCTTTTTGTACATAGTCTTCTCCTTTGCTTTTCTCAAGTCAGACATTGATACCTTCATTCTTCTTTCTCTGAGAGCGAGGAGTCCAGCCTCAGTACAGATGGCTTTAATATCAGCTCCTGAGATGTCATCCTTAGAGAGGACAAACTCTTCAAGATCAACATCATCTGATAGTGACATTTTAGAGGTGTGGATCTGGAAAATCCTTCTTTTAGTCTTCACATCTGGCAGAGGGAATTCGATCTTACGGTCAATCCTTCCTGGTCTAATCAAGGCAGGATCAAGAGTCTCTATCTTGTTTGTAGCCATGATGACTTTCACATCGGATTTGGAGTCGAATCCATCCAGCTGGTTCAGAAGCTCGAGCATTGTTCTCTGAATCTCTTTTTCTCCTCCAGAATTTGAATCGTATCTCTTAGTTCCAACAGCATCAATTTCATCAATAAAAACAATGGATGGAGCCATTTCTTCAGCTGCTTGGAAAATTTCTCTAACTAACTTTGGACCATCTCCAAGGTATTTTTGAATAAGCTCTGAACCAACAACTCTGAGGAAAGTAGCTGAGGTCTGATTTGCTACTGCTTTAGCCAACAAAGTCTTTCCTGTTCCTGGCTCTCCATAAAGAATAACTCCTTTAGGAGGTTTGATACCAATATCTTCATAAAACTCGGGATGGGTTAGAGGAAGCTCAACTGACTCCTTGATCTCTTGAATCTGCTTCTCAAGACCTCCGACATCAGCATAACTTTCGAGTGGAGCTTTGTCGACCTTCATGACGCTGACCATTGGGTCAACATCATCTGTAAGAATTCCCACTACAGCGTAATTCTTGCTATTTAGCAGCACAGAGCAACCTGGCTCAAGTTGGTCCTTATCCACAAAGGACATCATTGACACATAGTATTCAGATCCTGCATGAGGACTGACAATGGCATGATTTTCATCAATGATCTCCTCCAGAGACCCCACTAGCATGGGTGTGCCTCTCATAAGGTCAACTTCGCTTCTTTCCTCTTCCTTCTTCTCATTCTGAGGCTTGAGGCGTTCCTGGTTCTTAATATACTCTTCTTCCATCAGGAGATAATCTTTGACCCTTTCCTGCCTTAAAAGTCTGAGCCTGCACTTGCCACTAGGAGTGACTTTAGGCAGCTTCACAGCATCATAAACACTCTTCTTCTTCTTTTTCCTACCTATCTTCAACGGAGCAGCTTCTCTTCTTTTCTCTACACAAATATTAATCCTGAAAAGTAACCAGAAAAAGAAAAGTTGGAGAATTCGAAAATATAAAAGGGCTTACCATCTTCGAGTCTCCTCTCACGTTGTCTCTTCTTCTCTTCTTCAGTTGGTTGCCTTCTGCCACCAGCACCTGGAAATCCACCTTGGTTTCCCATTTTTATAAATTTTATTAACAATTTGGTTGATTTTTTATGGGGTTTTGGGGTTTTGGGGTTTTGGGGTTTTGGGG